TTTCTTTCTTTCTTTCTTTCTTTCTTTCTTTCTTTTCTTTTCTTTTCTTTTCTTTCTTTCTTTCTCTTTTCTTTTCTTTCTCTCTCCCCCAACTTCCGGCCACCCATCCTTCCTTACTTTGGTACCGATAGCCTTTATTATCTGCAGCAGGAAGTTCACGTGGAGGGGATATGATAGCTTCGGCTCCTGGAGGGGCCCCAGAGACTCAGTCACCACCCTTGAAAAGATACGCTGTTATTGTTTCCAATATTTACTTTAAAAAGTATGTTAGACCAACAGATCATATTTGTTTGACAATTTATTTCTAGGATTAACCCACTAACTCTGTTTTTGCCAGTTATAAGATTATTAGCTCAGGCAGTGGTTTAGAAAGGTGAATACTAAGAAATACCTTGATTTTGAGGTGGCCTCACTATGTATTTGTTATTTCATTTATTAATTTATCTAACACACATTTATTAAATTCCAGCTGTGTACTGTGGAAATTCAGAGAGCAGAACTACATAACAATGAATAAACTAAGAACATTTCTTGGTATTATAGAGTCTGCTTACAGAGGATCACATCCAGGATCTACAAGACCCAAACCCAATGCTTTGAAGTCACTGCAACGCGTACTTTAATGAAGGGGCACAATCTGTTTGAAAGAATCCTATCCCTGTGTTCCACTTTGTGAGAGCTTCCTTAAGCAACTGTAAAGACATCTTAAGCAATCAAAACAAACTAATGAGCTATTTGTGATGCAAACTGGTGTCAGGAATGAAAATGAGGGCTGTGTGTTCTGCACCACACCCCAGTAGCCTGGGTATATAAAGAAGGCTGGAGACCAGGGAGGTCATCACACCGAGGAAACGCCCTCTCTAAGCTCTCCTCCACTCCAGACACCATGTGCTTCAACAGCTTCTCCGGCGCTGTCTTCCCAGGATTCTACTGGGGGCAGCTGCGGCTACCCTCTGGGGTACAGTGTGGGCTGTGGCTATGGCAGCACCTACTCCCCAGTGGGCTATGGCTTCGGCTATGGCTACAACGGCTGTGGGGCTTTCGGCTACCGAAGATCCTGCCCATTCTTTTTCTAGTGATTTGCTGAAATCCCCAAGGAGGCATGGAATCTTCTCTCGTGAGGCTGAAGGGTGCACCTCCACATCCTCATCTGCTCCTCAACCTCCCAGTCGCTGATTTTCAGAGCCAGGACCAGAGTCCAGAGGGAAGAAAATGAAAACCCCTTGATGCCTCGAGCTGCCTTCCCTGAATGATATTTGTTGGGACGTTTTCAGAAACCTGATGCCCCAACATGAATTACTTTTGAATTTTTCACCGTGTTCATGACTCTTGTCATAACCAAGTTGTGGACGTGTCTGTCAAACTCCCAATAAACTTGTCTCAGCCACCATAATATTCTCACCTGAGTGCAGTTTCCTTTCTTGCTGGGCGTGTATTTTTTGGTACATTGAGTGGGGAGAGGAATGGATTTCCCTTTCCTCCTGTGGGTGTTAGAGGCAGTGAGAAAGCAGATAATCCTTGATCTTGTGTGATCAGCAGGCAGGAGGGGGCTGCTTGTGATTTAAAAAAAAAAAGTCTGTCTTAACCTCCCCTTACTCTATGACATCCACCTCCAATTCCAGCGCCAGTGGTACACCATTCATTGCTTAATGCCCCTCCTCATCTCATCACTCCTGCCCCTCTTCACGGAACCCAACATTGAAGGACTACTTCAATTATTTCTATATTAGTGCAAATGAAACCCACTGTGTTCCCTCTCGCAGGGGCTACTGATTGTAGAATAAGATGCCATGTCCCCTATTTAAGAATTCTGGGGCAACTAAAATAGCCATAGACATATTTGAGGAGTCAGAGAGTCTTTCGAGGGGGAAGGGATAAATTCCCCGATTCAAACCACCTCGGGTATCTATTTTACAGCTTAGAAATACCAGTTTAGAAACAACAACAGAAAGCTTCTTAATCTTTGTGGAATCGATACCAGGCAGTGGGTTTTACTCTTTAAAAGAGCACCTTTTCATAGACCTGCAGCTGTATCAGCCTTTCTCTGTGTTCCTTTGGAGAAGAGAGTAATATTCTTTTTATAAGCCAAGTCAAAAATGTCTCAATCCTCTTGTGGAAAACATTTTATATATAGTACAAATATTCTTGGTGACAGCAGGATGTGGCTTAACCCTGCTCTTCTATGGGAATCTGCATGTGGCTGTGTTGCATATGATCACCTTGTAGCTCAAAATGTAAAAGCTATTTGGAAAGATCATTTTAAAAAAGTGTTTTCTCCACCATATTTCACCCAACTGGTATTTCTTAAAAAATTCAAAAGACATCTTGTTCAAGGATTTACTTAGTAGATTTTTTTCCAGGAGACCATTGTTATAGCCAATAAAATGTCCAGTTTGGAACTTTCTAGCAGGGCATGTTAATTCACGCTAAGAATTGTAATTTAATCAAACATGTAGGTTAGAATACAATAGGAAAAGAGGGGTTTTCCAGGAATTAGAGGGTCAGATTGAAGCTAGAAAGGGTCTGTTTGACTGTTCTAGAATGATGATTGAGTTATATAAAATTTGTGCTTGAAGAGAACTTAGAGAACAGCTAATCCAGTGCTTCTGAAGTTGTGATGTGTAGGAGAATCACCTGGCAGCTGGCTTAAAATGCCAGTTTTTATGCCTCACCCCCAGGAATTTTGACTTGGTATATCTGAGGTGTGTTCCAGAAATATAAATTTTTTCCAGCTTAATTGAGGTATAATTAACAAATAAAAATTTTATATATTTAAGATGCATAACAAGACTTTGATATGTGTATATTGATATGTGTATTATGAGGTGATTACCACAATCAAACTAATTGACATATCATTCACCTCAGATAATTACCAATTTTTTCTCAAGTATGTGATGTTGACATTACTAATCTTCAGGGAAATAAAATAAGTGCACGATGAGTTATCACCGCACATCTGTTAGAATAGCTTTTACCAAAAAGCTAAGAGATAACAAGGGTTGTCAAAAATGTGGAGGAAAGTGAGACC